TTTCGCGAAAGGTAAAAATTAACGAAGAATATTATATTGTTAATGATATTGTTTGATCAATCTTAAAACATTGTACAAGTTTCTTTTTATTTATTGAACATTCATTCGTTTAAATAAGAATCAACGATATACGTAGTTATATTAAAAAAAAAAAAAAAAAAAAAAAAAAAAACTTAAGAGAATAATTCGAGAGAAAAATAAATCGAGGAAGAAAGATTTCGAATATTTACTTAAAACTCTTTTGTTGAAGTTTCGTTTTTCTTTTCCTTTTTCCTTTTTTTTTTTTCTTTTTTTTTTTCTTTTCTCTTCTTCTTCTTCTTCTTGGTCGAGATCAGAAGTTTTAAATGAACAATTCAATAGTGGTCTCTTCCGCAAGAGATCTGTATGTTTTCTTAATGGCTCGATCAGGGTTAGAAACTTCTTAGGAATGAACGAAAAGAGGAGAAAGGAGGGTGAAGAGAGAGAGAGAGAAAGAGAGAGAGAAGGAGAAGTGAAGTATACTTAAAAAGTAAAGGACGAACTACCATTAACTCGTACATCTTCTTTCTAGTTACGATCCTGCAAAATCTGATATATTCGTGTGCATATGTGTGAGATATGATTCTTTGTGTGTGTGTGTGTAAAGGAAAGAGAGAGAGAGAAAGAGAGGTAAAAGAGAAGAGATCTTAAATTTTCAGTAAATTATGTATGATCGTGCTATACCTCAAAGTACTTGACGACATAGCCTATCACGTACTCAAAGTACAAGCATTTTTATATATTAATTATAACAGTAATCGATAAGTTTTTAGCATAATTTTCAATTGTATTAGTTTTCAATATTAATAATGTCTTGGAAGGTATTATGATAACGATTCGATTGAGGAATTAATTTTGAGATATCAACGAACGAATAAATACTTACTTCTGTTCGATCTGTCGTTTTTCTCGATTCACATTGGTCCTTCTATCCCTTTACGTTTATTTCCACGCCATTAAAAGGAAAAAAAAAAAAAAGAAAATAGAAAAAGAAAAGAGGAAAAGGAAAACAAAAATCGACCGTCATCACACCGTTAGCACGAACCGGTCTTTTCAGGTTTCGTTTGATACGAAAGTACAGGATCTTCTTGAGGTACTCTTAAAGGCATCAATTTGCGAAGGACAAGTATGTGACGGTGACAAATTGCTAGGATCGTACTGGAAATTGTTGTCCGTGAACCGAGTTGGTTAGCCGATCGTTGATGAAAAACCTGTTCTGTCTGCAAGGGAAAATGAATTCTTATTCTTTTTAACTTGTCTGATTTCATTCGTATTTTTTTATCATCTTGGAATATATTTTTAGAAAAATCGACGAACTATCCGATCGCATATCGCATTAAAATAATATTACATTTCGAATTGCTAACATTGAATTTACTTTTCATTTTTTCTTTTTTTTTTTTGTTTTCGTTCATTTTTGTTTTCTATTCATTTTTTTCTTCTTCTTTTTTTCTCTTTTTTCTTTTTTTTTTTTTTTTTTTTTTTATTATTTCTTTCTTTCTTTCTTTCTTTTCTTCTCTTTTTATTTTCTTTTTTATTTTTTATGAGGATGGACGCCTTCATGGAATAAGTTTCGCGTGCGAGAGTTTTTAAACGGGCCGGAGGCTATGGCGATAAAAATTCACCCACTCGGGTGTACTTTTTCTATACTCTTAGGGTTTAAGTCGTAGGAAGAGGGGGAGAGAGAAAGAGAAAGAAAGAAAGAAAGAAAGAAAGAAAGAAAGAAAGAAAGAAAGAAAGAAAAGAAAGAAAGAAAGGAAGAAAGAAAGAGAAAGGAGTTGCGGAGAAAATGGTAGGAGAAATTCCTAAGGGATTTAGGGAAACGCAAAAGTTTGCTCGGGCAATGCGCCGTTAAATTAAATTACAGCGAAATGGTTGCTACGAATTTTCCTACCGGCGAGGTAGAGGAAACTCAGAAAAGCGTGCTGCTGTACCGTATCGTGCTATCCGTTCCGTGACTTTCAACGAATAATAAGCTTTTTACAAGAATCGTCAATAATTTATCGCGAATCGATTTTCTCCTACTTTCTTCACGATCTTTTGAAAACTTAAACGTTTTACTCTGCCGCGTTCTCTTTCTATATCGTATAAATAGATTCTTTAATGATGTATGCACGCAGCACATAAATTCTGACCTTAGAAATTTTCCATGAGTCAGGGATGGAAAATCAAAGATTCAAGAACTCTGGGTTAGCATTCTGTTTATACGATCGTAAATCGCGGTTTCACACTCGAAAGGGTAGATGCCTGGCAAAGGCATTAGCAAAGCAAAGTGTAGGATATCATTAGGACGGATTTAGAAATACGTAAATGGATATATATATATATATATATATATATATATATATATATTTCCTTTCTGGAAAAAAAAGAAATTGAAAAATGATCATTTTTATTCTCCTCTCTTTAACCTGTCCTTCCTTAACGATTCGAACGATTTCAGGCAACTTAGAAAATCTTTTCCATTTTGTTTTCTCCTCGAATGCTGGCAGTTCTTTTTAACATTAGCTACTACCACCTTAGCCAATGGGGATTACGAGAGTAAGAAGACAGTACCGTCGTATTTTACGAAGTCCTCCTTCCTTCTCAATGAGCCACCAACCCTCATTCTTTTGCACTCCATTTATACTTCCCAGCAACCACTTGCTTGTATTACGAAAGCTCGGTGCTATTACTTACCAGTACATTAACATAGTACATCGTTAGCATTCTCTCGGATCTCGCGTTTGCAGTTCGGTGAGTACGAGAAAATCGTAGTTTATATCTTTGCTCCTCGTATTTTGCTTCGTCGCATCGAGAGAAAAGGCACTTTCTCGGAAGAGAAATGGAAGAAGAAACGGGATTGAAAGGAGATTGGCTCGCAATGTTGGATTATCCAAGAGGTGATTGAAACAACGGGGTAGCTCCGCTTATTTTCATCTTTTCATCTCTTTCTATGATCTTATCTGTTTTCTTTTTCTTTTTCTTTTTCTTTTTCTTTTTTTTTTCTTCTTCTTTTTATTCTTTTTTTTTTTTTTTTTTTTTTTTTTTTTGTAAACCCAAGAAACCTTTATGAGCTATCCTATTACGTTCTAGACACTTTTCATATATACGTTCTTTTTTTTTTTTTTTTTTTTTTTTTTTTTATTTTTAAGGTTTTAAAGAACGTCAGTTCCAGTAAGATTGAGAAATCCTAACTGTAGGATAATCGATAAGGAAAATGAAGCTATTTCTGTTTCCCTCCTTTTGTATTCGTTCCATTCATTTCTGTGGTATTCTTCGAACGAATGATTTATAAATTAAAGGGAAAAAATACAAAGTAAAAGAAAGAATGAATAGAAGAAAGAGAGAGAGAGAGAGAGAGAGAGAGACAGAGAGAAAAGAAGAAAATATCATGAATCTGTCATTTTAGTTCTCCAGCGCTATCTAATCTTTGCTTTTATCGATTATTTGCTCTTATTGTTATTCCTTTAAAGAGAAACGTAGGATCTCACATCACGGATATATAGAAAGAGGTCAGAGAGGAAGTAAGAGAGTGAACTCTCGTATTCTTAGGTTATTAATCTTAGCTCGTTTACTGTTGTCCCAACAAAACGTTTACTGCAGTTGCAAAAAGCATCACGTTTCCTTCTCAACACGAGAAGATAAACAAGAATTTTTCGCTTGACCGCCCTTCAAGAGTAAATAAAGTAGTTCCTGGAAAAAGTCGTCTTTTGAATGTATGTATGTATGTTTGTATGTATATATGTATGTATGTATGTATATATGAATGTACGTACGTATGTATGTATGTATGTATGTATATATGAATGTATGTATATATGTATGTATATATATATATACGTTTGATCTACACTTGAAAAGAATAAACATCTTCGATATGGATTCACTTACTAGCAATACTTGATATCCTTCTAACGTTATTTCATTCGTATATTATTATACGTTATCTAATATATCTAGTTACTAGTATTATATGTTACATGTATATATTAAAGTATATCAATGACTTTATCGTTTCCGTCAAACCGTTTACTTTTAATGAAAAATTCATTTACCGAGAATTTTCTTTCCTTTTAGTTTCGTAATTTGGAGTATTATCACAAGAGATATCGCAAGAGTAAGCCACGTTTATCGTCGTTGCGTGCAAGGAAATCTGAAGAGAGATCTGAGGGATAATTTGACGGCTCGTTTCAATGTTATTTGCATTCATGTCCATTAGAAAAAGGTTTCTTCAAATTAAACCATGAAACTGAATTCAATTTAAATATTTCTTTTTGTTTTTCTTTTCCTATAGGTACCTTATAGGTACATATCATAGGTATTCATTCGATTCATAAATAATATTATTTATGATTTTTGTTAATCTTTAAAATATCGATTTCTATCAATTAAAAAAAAAAAAAAGGAAAAAAGAAAAAAAAAGAAAAAAAAATCTGTTTCTTGGTAAAAACGCCCTCTACAAAATAACTAGAATACATATTATGTTTGTCCCTCAAAATCCCTAACAATTTTTATTTGAAACGCATTTATTTATAAAACCAATAGGATCAAAGTTATTTGATATCATTTAAAAATCAGACAATCTGTACATACAAATTTATGTTCAATAATATTAAGAAAATTGATAAGATACGATTTAAGACAGTTTCATACGATCGCATCGATCGAATTGATCGATCACGTAAAACACGTTTTTAACAAGATAAAATCCGTTCATCACAGAACACATCAATCGCTGAACAATTCTTTTATATTTTATTTGTTACTTAATTTATAACATACATACGTCGTTATAATTAATCTCATTATGATATTGCAACGACTTAGTGTGTTTTTTTTCATTGATCGAAATAATAATTAACGTCATTTTTAAAACATGCATACATACTTACGTACATACATAAATACATTCATTTATATCTCTTTTCTTACGCATTATTATCATTAAAATGTTCTGTATCGTTGATTGAGAGGATTAACCTCCATTGATTTGATTTCAGGACCATCCGGAGAGAAGCGATCCGTACTCTTCTCCGATAATTTGCTGTTCGCATTGCCAATATCATTGAGCCGGAGTGCTCTGGAATGTTAACGAGGTAAAGCGCGTTCCTGTCTCTTCCTATCTCTTGCATGTATATAGAGAAACAGAAAGAGAGAGAGAGAGAGAGAGAAAGAGAGAGAGAAAGAGAGAGAGAGAAAGAGAGAGAGAGATAATTATGCGTAGGATTCCGAATGAGTCTCGAGATTTTGATAACGAAACTCTAACGAGGGTATTAATGTTCACGAAAGAAAAAGGTTTTAATAAGTCCGCGACGTAATGAAAACCATTCATATAAAAGTTTTCCGCGGTTGATGACGCTTTAATTGAACGGCGCTTTCCGTTAGGCAGATCTTCATTTGAGTTTATATCTCTCCTTCTTGTTTGTATATTCTCTCTCTTTACCTTATTCTCTCTCTCTCTCTCTCTCTCTCTCTCTGTCTGTCTGTCTGTCTGTCTGTCTGTCTGTCTGTTTCTCTCGCTATATAAGTATCCTTCTCTTTCTTCCTCTTGCTAAAGCGTAACATCTTAACAAGACGTTAGAGATTATTCTTGAGTCCGCCATTTTGAAGCTGCAAGAATAATATCGAATTATGGAGTCTCTTCTCGAAATTTCTCATCAAGGAAAGTAAAGTCTACGATATTTTTTTAAATAAAATCCAACGGGTCTTGTAATTTCATACGACTTTGTTATATTTGAATTAATTTTATTTATCGATGTTAACGTTATAATCAAATCTTTCAAGAGTAATAATAATAAATCATGTTTTATGGATCGTATAGATGTATATGCAAATATGATTGTAAATCATCGTAACGATAGTAATTGAATTTTAATAGATTTCAATGTTAAGATCGTTTACGAGAAGAGGTACTTTTAAATTTAATGATATATTCATTCATAAGTTAATTCAAACGAAATAAATCATTGAAATGATTATCAAAAGATAGTTCAAGAGAGTAAAGAATTTATTTTTTCTGTTTATTTCATGAACTCTGTTGAATAGATCAGGTCATACGAAGAAATATGATAACGATCAATAGATTGAAAATTCTCATGGCTGTTTTCGCAAACAGACACTTCACTCTCATTTCTCCGTTCATTTTTATACGTCCTCTTCGTCTCGTAACCATCTGCGTTCGTCACGACAGCTGGCAAATTCATTAATTTTTCATCGACTTTTCTATCGTATACATTCTCCATATACCTGTGATAATTTGAAAATAGTGAAATAAACGATATTTGTTAAATCGAAAGATCAATAATCTATGATAATTCAATATATAGATTTTCATTTTGTATTATGTTCCGTCGGTACCTTTCCTGAATTTATTATTAATTGATTATATTTGTAATCACTTCAACGAATAATAGTAATTTAATATTCTATTTAGGTACTCCCGTTAAGATATATCTACGAATTTTATATATCTATTTCACAGATTGAAATTACGAATTTAACTGGATATTGTATCAGTATGCAAGGAAAAAAGTCTAAATTAATTAAATTATCTTAATAATGTTAATAATTAATTAATGAAATATATATTCGTATGAATATGCATGACAAATTCTAAAATCTAGACGTGTGCTAATTAACCCATATATATATATATATATATATATATATATATATATATATATATAAAATATATATATAAAAAATCAGGTCATTTTATTCGAAGACATTATTTATTTTATTTTTATACATTATATTTCCCTGCTATATTTATTACATTACAGTGTATGGTATGGTTACGATTTTTAGATATGCTATATTTTTTATGTCTCATCAACCAAAATGTTCTTGATGTTCATGCGAAAGTATTAAAAGTATCTATTTACTTACATCGATGAATTTGTACAAGTTGCGTATTATCACATCAGTAAGTAAACAATAAAAGATAAGGAGATAGGTTCGTTTAATTGTTAAACAGAATTTTTTTCCGTAGCGTTACAGAGTTTAAATAGAAGTCGTTCGGATAACAATAACAGTTTAATGTCTCCGTCATCAAGTTTTTATTAACTAAAGTATAACTCGAGAAAGAAAGTAATAATTAGGAAAGGAGAGAATTTATTTGAGACAAGTGTTTTGGTGTCTTTTTCGTAAGTAAGTTTGTGAAGAAACTTTTGAAGAAACGAGTGATCCCTCACGACTCTGAACCCGTATATTTAAATCTTTTCACTATTAAGATAATGAAAAAAATATTTCCTTCTTTTTTACTTTTTATTCTTTCTTTTTTTTTTTTTTGATTTGCTTAATGCACTTTTTCTTCCGCATTCAAAAAGGTATTGGAATCCGCCGAGTATTGAACGAGAATATAAACCACGATTTCGAAAGTTGATCGATCGGCAATATCGTAAAAATAAAAAAAAAAAAAAAAAAAGAAAAAATGAAAAAGCCCGAGAAACTCCACTTTTATGAATGATAATATGATTGAATTTTCCCATAGACGTTTGCGATATATTTTTTGTTACTTTTATCACGATATATTTAAATGTTGAAATATCTGGAAATGAAATTTCATGATGAATTTATAAAATGTTATTCAATAAATCGAAAAGAATAATGTACACAAGAGAGTATTTATAATGTTTTAGTAAATTGTTTAATAATAGAAAAAAATATTATAACGATTTCATTACGAAAGAATTACATTGCGATGAATTGAAAAGAAGATGTGTAGCTAATTCAAAAACAATGTAAAACGCGACCGTAATAGATAGGAGATTTCATTTATTTATATTTTCTAATATATAAGATTAACTTTCTCTATTTGCAATTATTTGTTTCATTATATTTTTTTTTCTTTCTTTTTTTTTTTTTTTTTTTTTTTTTTTATATATATATATATAAGATGAGACTAGAACGATTTAAAGCAAAGAAAAAGAAAATATCAATTTAATTATAATAGATGACGAAGAAGTACGTGACGTGGTTCTTATACAAATCATATTTTAAATTGATAATTCAATCTCTTACCTTATAAGAAAGTTAAACTCACGTAATTTTTCTCTCTGATACATCTGTATGAAATGATTTCTACAAAATTGCTTTGAATAAATCACTTCAGGCATAGAAGAAAAAAGAAAAAAAAAAAAAAGAAATAAAATAAAGAAAAAGAAAAAGAAACATAACATATATATGTCTAATTATAATGCATACGATCTCTACAAAATTGCTTTTGAATGAATGATCTCTGGGAAAAGAAAGAAAGAAAGAAAAAAGGAAGAAAAAGAAATAAAAAAAAAAAAAAAAAGACAGAAAAGAAACGAATGGCATTACAAAAAAGTTTGAGTATCTAGATAATGAAAATGTATTCGACGTCGTGTACACAGTGATTGATAAAGAAAAGTATAAATAAATTTAAAATTGAGGTAATTTATTTAAGTTTACTTACATACAAATCATAATTTCGATAAGATTTTATTCTAACATAATTTTCTAACGAAAAATTTATAAATATTACAATCTATCATCGTTCATGGTCATAGAAGATTTTTTATAACGTTTCTTTTTTTTTCTATTTTTTTCTTTTTTCTTTTTTGTTCTTTTTTTTCTATTTTTTTTCTATTTTTTTTTTTTTTTTACAAATCCAGCATCTACAGTTTTATTAGGTATTTCGTTATTATTTCAAAACAAAACAAACAAACAAGCAAAATATATGTATATGTATATGTATATGTATATGTATATGTATATGTATATATACATGTATGCAGTTCTGTTTATATAGAAATAAATTCATAACTCTTAATACGTCGTACTTAAAATTAAATCCATTAAAGTCTTCTTTAAAAATGAAAATTAAGCTTGAGCGGGAGAGTCGTATTAGTCGTGTTAAAAGGAACTAAAGAAAACGTCGGACGCTTTTTGAATTATGAAAGCGGACACACCTATATCGCATTCGTGAAAACGTTTTCTCTCTCATTTTGCAAATGGCTTTCGGAGTCTTTAGTAGTACGCTCGGGAGGCAGGACAATGTAGCCAACGGCATGTAAGTCCTGTGGAAAGGATCCACGTCTCTCAACAGCCACGTTTCTTTCATTTCTCGATTCACGTCACTCGCACTGCACGAGACAAATTCTTTTTCTGTCTTCTCTCTCTCTCTCTCTCTCTGTCTCTCTCTCTCTTTCGCTCTCTCTCTCCTTATATATATATACATCTTCTCGTATCCACCCACTCCCTCCTCCCCACTGCATGTTCTTCTCGTCACCGTGTTTTCTTTCGCAGTAGTTACTCTTCGTTTTTAGCTTTACTTCTTACTTAACGAAAATTTAAGTGTTTCTCGCATGTCAGCTAACGAGTTTTTCTCTTGCTCTTTAATAATGTCTTTGATAAGAAAAAGGTATACCTATTTCGCAATTTTAAAATTTACTTTAAGTCGGTACCCTTTGCTTGCAATAGACAAATTATGAATAGAACTTATGAATTTTGTAATCAGTATAAAATTATTTTATGATACCCTTTATTACCGTTATTAATTTCTTTTTTTTTCTGACTAGCAGAAAATTTGTTTTATATTATAATTGAAATAAAAACAACATGAAAGCGAGAAAATGGATATTTGGATTTATTATAGAGGAGTAATAGAAGAAAACGTTAACATCTTAGCGAGCACAGTTAAATATGTACTTAATTTAATTTGTCACGTTCAAGAAAGTTTCAACTTCCATTTTTCTCCGTTTTCAAACTCGACAGGAAAAATTGTATGGGCATTGGTGAGGTGTGTGTGTGTGTGTGTGTGTATGTTTGTGTGTGTGTGTGTGTGTGTGTGTGTGTGTGTAGTTCGGAGGTACGTGAAAGTGCATAACACCCGTGCTTTTATCGTAATTTTATTGTTATTCCGTTAGAAAAGAATTTTTCATGGAACTACTTTCAAGTTTAATATAAAATGAAGGACGGTATCAAATAAGCTTTTGAAAATTTTCAAGCAAACGTCACAGAATATAGAATAGGATCCTTTCATTTACGTACAAATATTTCTTACTTAATTACAAATAATTCGTTTTACAAATATTTTATTAAATTTTCTATTGAAATTATTTACTATTATGACATCGTATATTAATCATACATTTCAAAGGAAACATTTGAAGGATAACGTATAATCAATCTATCGAATACTTTGCCATATTAATACTTTTCATCAATTTTTTCGAACAATTTTTTCTTTTTTTTATCTATGAAAGAAAAACAAAGACATGTTTATTATACGTATTACAAAAAAAAAATATATATATATATATATGTATATATATTTGATAATAGGAATATACATATGATATAAGAGAAAATTAACGTATACAAGAAAATTATCATTACGCAAGAAGAACGCGAATAATTATTTAAAAAAATGATAAAGATCTAAAGATATGTATCAATTTGTTGCGTATCCTTTGAATATTGTATTACCTTTGTGTATCATTACGTATCACTGTTGCATAAGTATTCATATAAAAATGAAGAAATGGATTTGTCTTTTATCCATTAACATCAATACACAATTGTGATACGCAATAACAGGAGATATACAAATTAACAGAGTTTCTAGGGAATGTTCTAAAGAGTGAGAAAAAAAAAGAGACAAATAAGAGTGAGAGAAAGGGAGAAAAAGAGAGAAGGAAAGAGAAAGAAAGAGAGAGAGAGAGAACAGAAAGAGAAAACAGAAAGAGAATGAGAGACACAAAAAAGAGAAAGAGACAACGACGACGGTATCGATGGAGCTTCTTTTTTTTCTTTTATTGTGTGAAAACACGAGGCTCAGCCTGAAGGTACTTACACGTGTGCTTAGCCCCGTGTAAACGTTAGATCCTTCCTCTTTTCTTGGTTTTTACCCCCTCGTAGAAATGTCAGCGTAACAATGGTCGCCGAGTATAACGTTGTTCTCCCTCCTCCCTCTTTCCCTCTGTTTTTCTCTTTCTCTCTCTTTCTCTCTCTCTCTATCTCTTCGCGTTCTTTCGCACGGACGCGCTTTACACGTCTCTACGTGGAGAGATATACACCAACGTCCGAGATAGAAGTATTCCTTAGAGCTCGGAATTCAGTCTCGACGTATCTGTCATGTCAACGTTTATTTTCGCGATCTTACACTCTCCTCTTTATCTTTTTTCATCTCTTTTTCTCTTTCTCTCTCTCTCCCTCTCTCTCTCTCTCTCTCTCTCTCTCTGTCTGTCTGTCTGTCTCTCTCTCTTTCTCTTTCTCTTTCTCTTTCTCTTTATTTCTTTCTTTCTTTCTTTATCTTTTGTTCCTTTCAACAAACTCGACCATATCGTTCCTTTTTCTGTACGAGCAAGTAATCTGAAATGTCGCATGAACTTTCCTATCTTGGAATCGACATTCGAGTTGAAAAAAATTAGGCTCGAGATAAGAAAAGGCATTCTTTATTCCGACGTTCTTTCAATAGATTCCGTATGGCTCGTCTTGAATCGAAGAAGAAATCTGTGATTTGATGTAGAAGAATGGAACGAAAAGATGAAAAATTCTCTCGTTATACGTTTCTCTCTCTGTCTCTCTCTCTCTCTCTCTATCTCTATCTCATCCTATGTATATATATATATATATTTCTTTTTTCTTTTTTTTTCAATTTGAGATATAAAAAAAGAACAATTTTTATAAAGATCTTTGTTGATATCGCGAGTTATTAATATTTCGCGATTTACATAGAGAGACCTTCCTTCCATTCGAAGAGTGGGAGAGAAACGGACGACGTTGGAGAACAAATCACAAAGTGGAACATCCGGGTGAGCATTCAGTCCCGAGTGTAGTTGGCGAAACTACAATGGCCGAGTTTCGTAGAAGCGACTTTGTTAACGGACGGCCATCTCTCGCTCCAACGCCGCTCTATCTCGCGTCGTTTTAACGTAAGTGTTACGAGTAATTCGATGGTCAGTCAAGTCAGTGGAAAATTAATCGATATTTCGTGCAATAAACGTCAGACAAATATTTGCACTTTTCGATATTATGTTATAAACGATTATGTTTTTGTTCTTTTTTTTTTCTTCTTTTCTTTTCTTTTCTCTTACGTTTCTTTTTCTTCCTTTTCTTTTTCTTTCTTTTTTTCCCCCTCCTCATTAAACGTGAACGTTATCGATCATTATAATTAGAATAATAAATAATTTATAAAGATAATGATTGTTATGCGATTCATAAATATATGCATTTCAACGTATTGAAAAATAATCCATTGTAATATAAATGGAATACCAGAAGAGAAATATTTCTGTCAGAGATTAAACAATAAATATCAAATATTGAATATTATTTATCTAATGGAAATGTTCATTCGAAATTCATCGAATGTAGAGAAAATATAGAAAAATAATTAGCAGAGAAAATAAAAAGAAAGAAAAAGAAAAAAAAAAAAAAGATTATGACATGAGAACACATGATAGTGGAGAACTTTACGGATCATAGTTTCCAGTACTATAATCATTTCGAAGAACCGAAGTTGTAACAGACATGAGAATAGCATGTTCTCACTTACAAATTTCTCGACTATAAAAAATAATGCGGCATAAAACCCGTGGAATAAAAAATATATTCGTTTCTTTATATCATTTCTTCATAAAAAGGAGAACCGAGAGAGGGAGAGAGAGAGAGAGAGAGAGAGAGAGAGAGAGAGAGAGAGAGAGAGAGAGAGAAAGTAAAAAAGAAAAAGAAGAAAAAAAGTATAATAACGTTAATAATGATATAATCCATTCGTTCTTTTATTTGTATATAATATTAATAAAGTTGATTAATTTCATCGAAAGTACATTTAGTTCCAATGGCTTCTCGTTTCGTTCGTAAAACGAATTTGAAACCGATCCCGAAGCCTTATCCAAGGAACTTCTTCGAACGTAAATGTAGGAGAAAAAGAGGAAGGTTTCGAAAGTAGTAGACGATATCAATCGACATGGCCGGAGGATATATGTACGCGAACACTCACACTTGCGATTGATATTCGCCGATCTTTCCTTGCGTTTCCGCATAGAGAACTCTCCGTGAGCCGGTTCTTCGTGCCGTGCCGTGCCGTGGCGAACTTTGTGAATCCGATTTGAACTTCCAATCACGTTTGTGTCTGCCACGGTCTCGTGAGTAATCAGAAAGGTTTTACTCTCGTCTCCCTTGACGCATCACCTACGCTTCGTTTATCTCTCTCTCTCTCTCTCTCTCTCTCCCTCTCTCTCTCCCTCTCTCTCTCTCTCTCTCTCTCTCTCTTTCTCTCTATCTATCTATTTATCTGTATCTTGGTGATAACTTTATTTTCAATTACTTCTAATCCCATCTCTTTCAGCTCTTCTAAACAAATACTTATGTTAGATAATAGAATTTTGCATTCTAAATATATACTTAGATAATATTAAAGAAATACAATAAGAAATATAAAATAGGTATTTACGTAATAATTACGATTTTATTTCTTAGTTATAAATTATATTGATTGATAAAAGTTTGACAGAATTGTTTTTTATGATAAAAATTAATCTTGTAAAATTTGTACGAATATATCTATGAAATTTCTTACACAGGTATCTAATCTCTATATATGTGAGAATAGTTTTTGCTAGGAATTAGTTGAATTAATTAGTTTTCGTATGAATTCATTGCGTAATTAATTGTAATTTATATTTTTTCTGTTTGGAAAAAAATATCATTTATTTATACAGATACAATAGTTCCTTGAAACACTTTAGTATATATATAGATATATAATCTATGAAAAAAAGGGAGGTAAAAAGGTATAGAAAATCGATAACAAATCAGCACTTGATATTTATCTTATCGTATATTACACGAATAAAATTCAACTTTGGTCTAGTTTACAACTAGAGACTATATCTCGTAAAGGATGTAATCTCCGAATGAGGACCGTTCAAAGTGTTATCTCGAACAGGTCATCTCTTCGGCCGTGCAATTCCTGCGACCAATTTCGCCGGTTATTACGATCGTCGAAACATTATCTCCCTGTGTTAATTGGATCACTACAATAAACATAGCATGTAAGTTCTAGAAACCTTGTTTATCTTACCCTCCGTCTCTCTCTCTCTCTCTCTATATATATATATATATATATGTATCTCTCTAGTTGTATACCTTGATTATCAGACTATAGAACATGCCGTTTATACCTATCAGCCAAATCTCTTCCTACTTAACAACATTACAGATAGGATGTTTAATTGACTTCTTAGTTCTACAACATCAATTTAATTCTTTGTTGACATCTATATTCTATATTTATCTCTCTCTCACTCTTTCTCTCTCTCTCTCTCTCTCTCTCTCTCTCTTTTTTCTCTAACTCTTTCTGTTTGTCAAAATATAATTTTATAATTGAGATCAAGTTTTATACCATATAATCTTATAATTTCGATCTGATGTATATTAAATCTGACGTATATTCATCTATCCATCTAATCTGTCTATTTGTCTATCTATCTATCAATTTATTTATCAATCTATCCATTTAAATCTCTACGTATTCATAATGTTCGTGCAATTTATTTTTTCCGCATACGAAATTATCGTCACGATTTTCTCGGAAAAAGTCATATCCAGTTTGAAGAGCCGTGAAATCGAGCGCGAATCGCGCCACAGGCATGAATTTGATTAGCCGTCCGAGTTCGCGCTTTCTCGTTCGAGGTGCCGTTTAAACCCTTCCGGGTACAAGTTTCTACGAGCCACACAATCCTCTACGACGTGCTCGTGTCGCGTTAGAAAGGGGTGTGTGAGTGGAGCTAGCCAACTGGGGCTAGTTTGCGGATTGTGTCAGTGACCTGCAGGACAGCCCATTTACCTGCCCATTTACCTGCCCATTTACTTGTTCACCTTCGAAGTTCGCTAATTTTCTCTCTCTTTCTCTTTCTCTCTCTCTCTCTCTCTCTCTCTTTCACTCTCTCTCTCCCTTTCTCTTTTTCTTTTCTTCTCTTTAATAGTTACGAAAGATATTATACGATTCTTTATTAATGCTTAATGGTGTCTGGTTAACATTGCAAGTCGCAAAATACTCTCAAGTTTCGCGTTTAAAATTCCTTCATAATACTGGCTATTAGAATTTTTAATAAGAAAGAAGATCATATTTTCTCTCTCTCTCTCTCTCTCTCTTTCTCTTTCTCTCTCTCATCTCCATTCTACACAAACAAAAAAAAAAAAAGAAAAAGATTTTTCCGTAATTCGTGCCCAAAAAAATTGATGAGGTAATTGCGATGTAATTTTTTTTCTGTGAAATTTTATATCTTCTCATCTGTATACGTAGACTATGTCGTTATTAAAGAGAATGGAAAGAAAAATAAGAGAGAAACTTACTCGGTTTATGCGAATGAAAAACGTCTTTGCGTTTTCGCGGAAAACGAGATATGGAAGCGAGAAGAAAGAGAAAGAGAGAGAGAAAGAGAGGGAGAGAGAGAGAGAGAGAGAGAGACAGAAAAAGAGAGAGAGAAAGAGAGAGAGACGGAGAAAGAGAGAGAGAGAGAAAGAGGAGTGTAAGAAGGCGAGTTTCGAGAGAAGGTGAGGTAAGTCTCTGTAGTCACGTAACGACGTTTCGTCGGGGTCACATGGTGGCCTCTCGACCTCCACTGAAGAGGCGAAGTCCCGCTGAGAGAAGTAGATGTTAACTTTAAACTCGAACGTTCGTTTGCCGATCGGAAAAAGGAGAACATTTTTTCTTTATTTCTTTTTCTCATTTCTTTAAATTATTTTTAGTCTTACTTGTTCATCGATCGAAGCTCATCTCAAATATTAATTGAAATATATAATTATCGGATATATATATATATATATATATATATGTGTGTGTTCTTTTCCTTTTCGTCTTTCGATAAGAAACGTAAGTGATGTCTCCTTGATGGTAAATCGAAAAACGTTTATTCGATAGGATGGTAAAGCGAATAATAGAACGTTCAAGTACCGTAAGGGTTGGATAGGTACTTATTTGGCGACGTTCCAAGGACATATGGTACGTCCGAACGGAATGTCCATTACTCCATTAGCGGGTCACCCTGTTAACTCTTTATGGCTGCTCTACTATATGAGCCTAGTGCTTTCCATCGTTGGAAGCGAAACTTAATGCTTCGTATTTCGTATCTCGGATTACGGTAAAATCGTTTCGATGTCTATTCTGTCAGTTGAAGAGAAATATATATATATATATGTATTTATATATATATATATATGTATTTACATATATATGTATGTATGTATGTATGTATATTTGATAAAGGAAGTATAATGGAAATAGAGAACCAGTTCTCGTTCAATAAGTTTTCAAGACTAATTCTCAATTCCTGGTTTAGTTATGAATTTTTTTTTATTCACACACATATATATATACATATATATATATATATATATATATATATATATATATATATTTATATATATAGTCCAGGATATAGAGGAGAAAATGAAAAGGACATAATTTTTTAATTGATTGATCTTGCAATAAATTGATTTGAAACTAATTAAATTATATATCTTGATTAAATTTTATGTAATTATTAATGGAGTGTATAATTTTTGATTATTACAATGAATTATTTATTTTTAATAAATTTCATATTTTCTAATGAATTTTGTTTTCTGATAAATGTTTCATTCTCTAATAGATTACATCTTGAACCTTTTCATGAATTATCGACTTTTCAATATACATTTTGCAATAGATATATGAGTATGTCAACGAAAAGTATCCACCAAAATTATTAATGATATCTAGTGAGTTTTTCGAAAAACGCAGGGGACAAGTTAATTTTATTTTCAAAGGGGACAGATCCTTGTCATAAATTCACTCACTTTGGAGTAATCCCCTAAGGAGGGTGACAACCCTCTCAAAAAATTTAATATATATATATATATATTAGTTATGATTCACTGTAATTTCATT